GAAGAAAGAAAGAAAGAGAGAGAGAATGAATCACAGAAACCTGACTCGGGACAATGTCAGATAGTGGCTGCTAGCTCTTGCTTTACTTGAATTAAATTGAGCAGGATCCAAGTAAACAAGGGTTTCAAGCTTCACCAACAGCAGCCTCTGACTCCTCACATAATTTCCCAGGTCCTACTCATCTGTATGAAGTGAGTTCCTGGAAAGGTGAGCCCTTGCCTGCCTCCCTCAAGGAAGGTGTAGCCTTTGCAGTACTCAGAGATGTGGCCAGAGAAGGCGGTAGACAAGGGAGAGGCTTCTAAGAGCCTAACTAGACTTTCCAGATTACCAGGACAATGAAGTCCCCTTTCACCAGGGAGGGAGAGAATGCTCACATCCGTGACTTAATAGGAAATGATATGTTCCAAGTTTTGGTGACCACATGCCTATTGCCTTTAATGTTTCCTTTTGAAAACACGAGTTTTGATTGCAGTTACCCTGTTGATATTCTATACCTCACACTGGGCAAACTTCTGAGGTGTAACTGCATCTATAAGGATGAGTCAGTTTATCTGGACTTGACTGAGAGAACTACTTACACACAGTTCCTTAATGCTTCACATTCCCTCCCAGTGTCTGAGATCAACCAGGACTGCCAGTGCCTTTAGGACAGAACTTGCTCTGAGATCTGTCTGAATCCAGTGCGGCTTTTACTCTCTACTGTATCTCCATCTCTGGCATCCTGTGCTGGCACCAGAGTGGTTACCCCTTCAACAATTTCCTTATGGGTGGGTGTAGCCTCATCTACCTCCAACCCAGGGCTTCCCAAACCACCCTAGCATTTCAATTCACAGGCCTTTCTAATTGTTGTTTTTTTTTAAAAAAAATAACACGCACGCACACACACGATCATGGACAGATAACATCCTGGAATCCAGGCAAAAGGAGGAGAATGGTACTGATTTGGGAGAATGATTCTGCAGGAGGCTTCTAGTTTGCTCCAGAAACTAATCATTCAGCTTTTATTTTCCCTGTTTTTTTTCTTTCAGTGATAGGCATTTGTTTTGTCTTCAATTGACATGTCACAGTCAATCTTGAGCCATGGTAGATAAGGCATGGGCATTTCTTATGTGAATGAAATGCATTTCTTACTTTATTCACAACCCTTGCACTGTCTTCATAATATTCAATAGCAATACCCAGTGTAAAATGAAAATGTGACATCCTCTATTCAAAAGAAAAAAAATTCTACTGAAAATACTGAAATTACATTTTCTTCTTTACTTTTCTATTTAGGTTTATGTATCTCTTGAGGCAGTTTCATGCTGTAGGCCTGACCTGAAGCTGATTTTGTAGCTGGTGACTGGTAAGTTCCTGGTGATCCTCCTGCCTCAGGCTCCCAAGTGTTGAGATCACAGCTGTGAGCAACCTGGATTATTTATTTTCTGGGATCCAGAGTCTCCTTATAAAACTCAGTCTGATCTCTAAGACACTGTCACCCCTCCTGAGCGCAGGTTTGTCAGCATCCCCAGATCTACCAAAGAGTTTTAAAACCACATTTAAGGTTGCTCCCCCAAAGGCATGTGGGCACTCACAGAAGAAGGAAGGCCTCACAATGACCTCCTACTGCTCTAGGCACCACCTTCTGTGGAGTTCCTCTTCCTGTCTTGACCTTGATGAACCACGAGGAAGAACCAAACCCAAAGAATAATGTGCCTCATGAGGAATGACAGATACATAAACAGCACTGAAGAAATGATACTAGGAAATGTATGTTCAGGTTTCTCTGGAGAGTCAGAAGGGGTGCATTGATGGAACCAGGTGTGGGCAAGCATCTAATGGTCAGAGCAAGACAGACTACAGCCTCAAAGTCCACACCCAAGTATTGCATCTCTGCTTAGAAACTGATAGCTCCCTGTGTGTCCCGTGTCTGTAGACTCCCGCTGTAAAACAATGTCTACTGCTGTTGGTTTTCTAGCTACTTCTCATTACATCTGTCGCACACAGGAGAAAAGCAATGTTGAGTAACAGGAGCCAAAAGAGGTACAGTCAATTTTCATTTCAGGTATGTCTGACTTGAAAGCTCAGACTCTCGATGACTGTGAGGTGTTGCCAAATGTGTCTTGTTCAATGTTACCTCAGGACCTAGCACAGCACCTGGCATGTGGTGAGCAATTGTTAAGTTATTTTTGTGTGACTGAATGAATAGATACATAGAGTTTAATAGATGCCAAGAGAGTGTGTGAAGTCAATTTAGTGAACGAATCATGGGCTCAGATAGGAGTATAAGAGGATGTGTGCATAACCAAACAGGTTTTAGGTATGACTCAACTCTTTTAGAGAAGCTGTCTTAAGTTCTAGAATTAACTCATTATGTAACTTGGAGCTTATATGTTCTCTTGTTTCTTTTACTACAAGCTGAGAGTTTGGCAGGAATCAGAGTCCAGAAAACATTTTCTGTAAAGTACCAAACATTAGGTATTTTTAGATTTTGTAATAAGTATTCCATTGTCTAATGCAACTACTTTACAGTATCATTGTAGGGGACTAATAGCTATAAAAATAGCTAATGGTTTATGAGTTATATTATGAGTTTATTATAACAGTGAGTTTATGGCTATGTTCCAGTAATGCACACAGAATTTATAATAGGCTGTTTAAGGCTGGAGAGATGGCTCAGCAGTCAAGAACACTGGTTGCTCTTCTAGAAGACCCAGATTTCATTCCCAGCATTCACACAGTGGCTCACAATTGAAATCGCAGGTCAGAAACTCCAGTTCCAGGGGATCTGCTGCCCTCTTCAGGCACCCTCAGGTACTAGGCACACAAGCGGTGTACAGACATACATGGAGGCAAAATAACCATAATAGTAAAATAAGTACATCTAAAAAACAAACAAACAAACAAACAAACAAACAAAAAACAAAAAAAGCCTGCTGGATTTTGCTCAGGATTTGTGTAGTTGTAGATCCTTGGCTGTCCTCTAGATAACTTCAGAGTTTCTTTTACACCTAAAGTTGTATTATTTAAAGATTTAAAATTCATTATGTTGAAAATAAGAATTATCATGTATCATTATCCTGCTTGAGTTATCCATAAAAAAGTTGGTTTCAAACAGTCATACAACTGATCATTAACCACAAACAGATAGATCTAACTGTAGAATTCTCATTTTGACTCTTCAAGAAACAAATATTTTGAAAATTCTGGAAACTCTCTTGGCATTGAGGAAGATAGGAAACAAAGAATGGGAAGGACAGGGGCTGTGGGAGAAAGCAAGAACAAACCCCCCAACCAGCTGTAAGAGTGTCTTCCATTTCTCTCTTACAGTCTTGCCAATTTCTTAATTAGGAGTTAACACAACACTGTAGTTACTCAGTGCATGTTAATTTTCTCTTCTTTCCTTTGGCACCAAACTTTCTTTAACCCACTGAATAATTTCTGCATAAAAGATTTTGCTAACAGTTGGCTCCTGGGTTAGAGAATAATTTGTTGAGCCCAGCACTTAATGCACAGCCTTTTCATGTTTCGTGAGAACACCAGTTGACATGCCACTGTGGAAGGGGGGAGATCTCATAGGGCCCCCACCCAGATGGTGAGATACAGGCAGTTAATGAAAGATGAAGTCTTCCTCATGGTGAACCACCTAATTGGCTATCCATTATCAAGTGGTTACCCATAAAACTGTGTGCTCATGAACAACACTAAATGTACTTGGCAGGTTGTGTTCAGATATCTATTAATATACACACTGAACAGTAATAATTAAAGGAATAGAGGCCAATACCCGGTGTTGGTTGTACACACCTTTAATCCCAGCACTCAAGAGGCAGAGGCAGGCATATCTCTAGGAATTCAAGGCCAGCCTGGTCTACAGAGTGAGCTCCAGGACAGCTAGAGATAGATCTAGACCTGTTTTGATTCCCTACGCCCAGTAAAGAAAAAGAGGCCAAGTTTGGGAGGGAGTTCAGGGTAGGGGAAACATTGGAGGAAATAGAAGGAGGACACACACACACACCAACATATATGAAATTTGAAAAGAAGATCATATGGTGTTGAGGCAAGACTCGAACTTTGCAGTAGGGAAGTTTGGGTTGAATTGTAGAGAGAAGGATGGCTCTCTTAACAATTAGAAGCAATTTGTACACACTGGGTATTACACACAATGGGCTGAGCACTTGGCAGCCATAGTTTTTCACTGACATTTGATGCCCATAGAGGATTTAGGAGAAGAAAGAATTCCTTTAACAAATGAAATGATAACATAGCTCAGTGCTGATTACAGTGATGAGTGAGAAACTTTCTCCCTTTACTCCAATCCATCTCAGTGATCACTTGTAGACAGGGATGAAGTTAATTTATTATTTTAAGGGTGATTTCAAACTCTTAATCTCAGGACCAGTCCAAAGTCATTTCATGCCTAGAAAACTGATCTCCAAAGAGATTTGATGAATGCAAAACCCTTCATAGTACAACTTTCATTTGATTAGGGTTTGCTTTCCATGTTTCAGTCATGAAATAGGCATTGGGGAAACAGCGGTGCAAATAATTTGGCAGAGATAAATGCCAGTTGGTTGAGCCATGCGTCATCTGTGTTTTGAGAAGAAATTTGCATTGAGCAATAGCTTAGAATTTCAAAATCCCAGAAAGTCCAGGGACTTGAGAAATAGAGGTGCATTGCACAGTCTCAGCTGGAAGTCCACATCCTATGTTTCAGCATCAGGTCCCGGTGGCCCTTTTGTGACTGTCGCTTTCTGCTCTTCTCTACCAGTAAGGGCAACAGACAGGCTTTCCAATTTCACAATGCTCAGGGTACAGGTGGTCACCTGGAATGTCCCTCTGAAGACAACTTCCAACCAACTTCTTTTGTTTTCAACACTCTGGTTATTACTCATCTGTCCTCATGGTCCTGCTTGGAGTAGAAAGTCTACCATCTACCTCTGCAGTATCAAGACTTTCTGACTATGCAATAGCAGGTGGGAGGGGCCAAGTACACTCAACTGCGGCCACACCCACTGGTAAAGATATAAATAGTGATGCCTGGGACTGGTCATTGGAGCCACTCTGCCTTCACCATGAAGTTCAGCAGTTTCTTCCCTTTCATGGTGCTCCTTGCTCTGGGGATCCTGGCATCCTGGACTGTAGAAGGAGGCAAAAATGGTGAGTTGGAGTTCCTGTGTTCCAAACCTGCCTAGAGTGTCAGAAGTAAGAGCTCCTGTTGGTTTTGGGGTGTGTTCCCTTCTCTAGGCTGTTCCCCAGCTTACCCTGGACCTCCTGGAGGCATCTGTGTCTTGCTGGGGTCAGAGGTTCCTATGAGGCTTCAAGGCATGGAAAAATGCTCCCTTTATTACTGAACCAGCCTGTCAACTCAGGTCTCACTCTATGTCTGTTCCTGTCCTTTCCATTTCTGCCTCTGGCTTTAGTTCTCAGCATCTCACATGTTTGTTCCCTTCCTATTTATTTCTCTTGGTCTCCATCATTCCTGCTCTCCCTTTCTGTCCTTGGGTAATTTAGATAAGCCCTAGGTGGGAAAACTCAACTGGGAACCCTGTACCTTTTGTCCTTAGTCTGTGACTTTCTTTCCTGTTTACATGTCTTCCTTACTGAGCCTGTCATTTTTTGTTTGTTTGCTTTGTTTTGTTTTCTTCTGGGGTCAGCAGGTAATCCCCTTTGAAATTGTGGGCTACTGGGATGAGGATCTTTATTTTGGAAAGTGGTCCTTTGTCCAGGAATTATGATAGATATTCCATACTCTCCTAATGTCTCCACATTCTCTTTAGATGCTATCAAAATTGGAGCCTGCCCTTCTAGAAAACCTGCCAAGTGCCTTAGGAGGGAGAAACCAGAGTGCAATTCTGACTGGCAATGCCCAGGAAAACAGAGGTGCTGCCAAGTTCATTGTGGTATCAAATGTGTTAATCCTCTTCCCATCAGCAGACAAGGTGAGCCAGCAGAGGAACCAGGAGGAGAGGAATGAACCTCAGGACCTAGCACTGAAGGGGATGAGGTTGAGTGAAGGGGTCCTCCTAGGCATGCTTGCTTCTAAGAGCTGTTGAATCCAACATATCAGTCAGTCAAGACATCAGTCTGCCATCTGCAGGAAGAGCCTCTTGTCTGAGGCAGCCACTCTGTAATGGTTTTGCAAATAACCATCTGGGTGTTCAGACAGCTTGATGAAAGCTGTTAACTCTTTCAGTACCAGACAGCTGGCCATCTGCTTTGTCTGGGGGCCGATGTTAGAGAGGAGCCAGGTGCTGTTTCAGGGGCCATTTCTGGGAGGTAGATGGTTGAGGTGAGGGATAAATGGGGGTGATTTTCCTTACTCAGGATGGAGAGGGTGGGTTAAAGAAGCAGTGATGTGCTGCCTAAAGTTTAAGCCATCTGATCTGTGCCGCTTCTGTCACCAGTGAGGAGGAAGCCTGGCAAGTGCCCAGAGATTAAAGGACAATGTATGATGCTGAATCCTCCCAACAAGTGTGAGAGGGATAGCCAGTGTGATGACAACTATAAGTGCTGCCTGGGCATGTGTGGCAAACTCTGCCTTCTCCCACAGTAAGGTAAGGAGTGGGCTGGGGTGGACAGACCTCATCACCTTTCAGACCTTTATAGCTTCAGGGTTCTGGCAGTCAAGGCTTATGGCCGGGAGACTGTAACCAAGAGCCTCTGTCTGGCTTGTCCTTTAAGGGCACTGTCCCCTGTTTCTTAGGGCAAAAACATAGGATTGTCTGTGCCTTTGAATGGACACAGTTTATCTGGGTAAGGCCCATGGGTGACTGACTCTCTGAGTTTATCTACAGAATAGAAAAGCTGAAGTTGAAAATGTTTTGCAAGGCACTGTATGCATTATTTGTTATCTAAGTTATTTCCTTCATGGTTTCTAGGGTCAAAGCACAAATGATGGATATAATTAGAGGAATGTCTAGTTCAATGATCTGTGTTTTGAATTTTACAATGAACATGAGACTTGAACTTTTACTCTCTTGAAATCCACAAGCCTCTCAACCAAAGTCTCACTTTGTTGTTTGATTGCTCTCTGCTGGCTTCCTCATGGAGGACATTATGAAATGGTTTGTTTGGCTCCTATGTTAAAGGTCTTATCTTATTTTCTCTTGTAGCCTGATTCCTGACATTTGTAGACAGCTCTGAACTCATGTTTTGTGTGGTCCGGAAACGCCTTCTCTGCTCCCAGGTTCTTTCAATCCCAGGCTTGGATCTGGTGGAGAGGGTTTGTTCTGCCACCTACAGTTCCCTTTGGCACATGCTCAGCATTCAGTTGTCTTTAAGGAAATACCATTGCAGAGCAAATAAATAAATGCGTTCATTTCTCTAAGCACCCCTGCCTCTGTGAATCACTGAGGGGAAGGGTGTGGCAAGGATCGTCAATAAGGGAAGTCTTGGGGATGAAACTTCTTATGTTTATGGTTGTGAGCCTAGACTTTAACGGCTGAGCTATACCTCCAGTCCAGGGTGAGGACTCCAGGTTTGGAAAGTCTTGAATTTACACTATGAATCTATCATTATTGACTTTGTGGCATTTGGAAAAGTGACTTTACCTCCAAATATCATGTTTTTCATCTGTGAGGTGGCAACAGAAACCACTTATAATGTATAGGGTATCAGAGTGTGCAGAGGGGTGCAATGTGTGGGTAATTAGCATCAGTTCTTGACAAGAACACATTCACACATCACAGCCACTTGTTGCCTCCTGGTGCTATTGAAATTATAATGTGGTATGTATGTGCACACGTGTGCAGGTGTGCTCACCTGTGTGTGCATTTGGAGGAGAGAGCATGACACCCAGTGTCTTCCTCTGTCACTTTTTGCTAAGCACCTTTGTCAGAGTCTCTTTATTGAACCAAAAGCTTACCAGTCAGCCTAGGCTGGCCAGCCAAGGAGTGCTCAGGATCTGCCTGTCTCTGGGGTTGTACACATGTGCACCCATGTCCAGATTTTTATGTGGGTTCTGGGGATCTGAACTGAGCTCCTCATGCCTGTGCAGTGGCACTTAGTGACTGACACACTTTCCCAGTACCCCTTCCCCATTTTTATTGTTCAACTGAACACAGACCATAGAAGAAAAGGTAGTAATGAGACAATGTCAGCTCTGAGGATGGCTGTGATGAGGCTTTGTATAATGTTAAAAGTTAGAACCCACTGGAGTTTTAAGATTCCTTGAACAGTTTCTTGTGAGTGTGACAGCTTTGTTAAGTTTAAGACTAGAATCAAACACACCGAGAAATACACCTGGACTATGTTTCAAAACCTATATTATGCTGAATTTCCAGTAGATGTCTCACTGAGGTCAAAACAGGAAGGGTGATGCTATTCTCCACAATGTACAAGATGTCTAAAGCAATGCAGGACGCTACACCAACAGAGCATGATAAGGTAGAAAAGAAAGCTACACAGTGGTCATGTTTGCTTTTATTTCTATTTTTAAGTGTGTGTGTGTGTGTGTGTGTGTGTGTGTGTGTAAGTCGCATGTTGCTTAGCCTGGCCTCAAACTTTTGATGTTCTCTGCCTCTACTTTTTAAGTGCTGGGATCATGAGTATGTGTGTGCCATGCCTATCTTAAATAGTATTATGTGTATATGGAAATTGTAATGCTTAGTAACATTAGTAAGCTAAGATTCATCAAAGTTGCTGGGCATATGGCCTATATAAAATTCCAAAGTAACCTGTTGTAGGGAGTAAGGTTTTTCTGCTCGCCGCCTGGTCTTGTCCTGCTGCCACGCCAGCCCCAAATAATACACCGAGACTCTGTATTTGATACAATTCTGTTGGCCAGTTACTTGTTTCTTATCGGCTAGCTGTGTCTTAATTATTCACCCATTTCTATGTATTTCCACATGGTTTCCTTACCAGGGAGTGGGGCAGGCGTCTGGTCTCCCTGGTCTCTCCATCGTGATCCCCCCTCACTACTTCCTCTTTCCTCCTTGTCTTAGTCCCTCCTATCTTCCTTTCCTATTGGCCTACAGTGCTTTATTCATTAACCAGTATGAGAAACATATATACAGAATGACATCTCCCATCAACCTGCCCTTAGACTTATATTTTGAAGTCAAAGCATTTTCAAACTATATAAGGTGGATTAATCTAGTAGCATTTATAGTCAAATGTCTTTTAACAGTTGTTGTTCCTTCCTTAGCAAACGAACAATTCAAAGACAACACAGAGGCATACAGTATCCAGACTCTGTATTTTCCATCTCCACGTGGCTTTTTTAGTACCCTATTTCTCTTACTTTTATTTTTTTCATTTTTTTGAGACAGGATTTCTCTGTGTATTTTTGCCTGTCCTGGAATTCACTCTGTACACCAGGCTAGCTTTGAAACCACAGAGATTTCCTTGCCTTTGCCTCCCAAGTGCTGGGATTAAAGTCGTGTGCCACCACTGCTTAGATACTCTATTTCTTTCTCTTTTTTAACCACTTTATCCTGCTTCTTTTTTTCTCCCAGGCCTATGTATATATATTTTTTAATTATTTATTTTTTATTTTACATGTCGATCCCAGTTCCCTCTCCCTGCCTCCCTCCCTCCCTCTTATGCTCTCTGCCCCCTCACATGCACCCTGACCACCCTCCCTTCCCATCCCCCACCCCAATTCCACATGTAGGGCAATGCCATCCAGGTGGGATCATATAAATCTGTCAAGTCATTTGAAGTAGGGACTAGGACTTCTCTCCTGTCTCTAGGTTAAGGGAGTTATCCCTCCACAGGGGATGTGTCCACAAGGTCCTTTTGTGCTCCAGGAATACTTCCTGGTTCCACTGTCTGAGGTCCCTTAGACTGCTCAGTCCTTCTAGCTGAGACCCATATTCAGGGGGTCTGAGTCAGTCCCATGCTGGATTCCCAGCTATCAGTCTGGGGGCCCATTAGCTCCTCCTTGTTCAGGTCAGCTGTCTCTATGTGTTTCTGCAACCTGGTCTTATCCTCTCCCTCTGCATCTGGATTCTAGTTCGACTCAGTGTTTAGTTATGGGTGTTTGCTTCTGTTTCCAACAGGTACTAGATGAGGGCTCCATGATGGTGATAAGTTAGTTGTTGATCTCACTATCCGGGAAGGGCATTTATGGTAGCCTTTCCATGATTGCTCAAATTGTTAGTTGGCGGCAGTCTTGTAGGTTTCTAGACATTTCTTTACGTTCAGTTTTCTCTTCAAACCAATAATGGCTCCCTCTTTTATGTTCATTCTCTCTCTCTCTCTCTCTCTCTCTCTCTCCCTCTCTCTCTTCTGTCTCTCTCTCTCTCTCTTCTGTCTTCTATTCCCACCCTGACTCAATCTTCCTAGTCTCACGTGTTTTCCTCTCCTCCCCCTCTCTTTCTCCTACTTCTCTCTCCATTCACTGCCCCCCCCCCATTTCCCCTGTGCTCTGGGGGACTTGTCCCTTCCCCCTTCTGTGAGGGACTTTATATGAATCTCTTAGAATACACCTTGTATCCTAGTTCCTCTGGTGGTGTGAATTATAGGCTGGTGATCCTTTGCTCTAGGTCTAAAATCCATATATGAGTGAGTACATACCATGTTCCTCTTTTTATGACTGGGTTACCTCATTCAGGATGGTTTCTTCAAGTGCCATCCACTTGCCTGGCAATTTCAAAATTCCATTATTTTTTTTCTGCAGAGTAGTATTCCATTGTGTAGATGTGCCACATCTTCATTATCCATTCTTCAGTTGAGGGATATCTAGGTTGCTTCCAGGTTCTTCTATTACAAATAATGCTGCTATAAACACTGTAAATCCTTTAGAATTTTAATTTATATGAATCTGTCTTTACTGTAAATCTTTATCTTTTTCTGTCAATGAGTCTTTTATCTGCTAAACAGCATTGCTAGGATTAAAGAGGATATTTTAGCTGCTGTGGTTGTAACGTGGTGGGCTTAAGTTTACAGCCAGCTCTAGGAGCTGTGCTCACTGCCTAGACTCTTAAATCTTTCTTTATGAGCAAAAGCTAAATCTGCCATGCAGCATGCTGGTCATTGCTGCCACCAGCTTCTCGCACATACCATTTTTGTTTTTTTGTTTTTTTTTTTTTTGCCACTTATGCTTAGTCAGGAGATCTCTCTTAAAGGAACCGCTGGAGTCTCTGCTTGTTTCTAGCAAAACAGAGCCCACCTGAGAAAATGCTGCTACCAAGAAGCAGTGTTTGTCTCTGTTCTTTTGTTTCTATAATCCCATTTTAAGTTTTTGTCAGGTTTACGTGGAAAATTGTGCAACCCACATTGGCATCATTTTGTAACCAGTCTTGCAATCTAGAAGGCAAACTCCATATCGAGTTTCTTCTGCCTTTACCCTGATACTGGACTTGTAGTATATATCTATTGCTCAATGTTGCTTTCTCTAGTAGCAGGTTTTAATTTGTATATGTTTACCTTTCCTTTTCCTGGAATATACTTAGCATTTGTTACCATTGTATATAGTTTTTGCATCAGGCTTAAAGCCTTCTTCTTTAGACTAAAAGGGGAATTGTAGGCATCATGTCTATGAACCTGTAATGGAGGCCACACCCCTTTGGGTGTGGCTTTAGGTGGACAGAAGCAGAAAGGGGGAAACTTGAGGTGTGGCTTCTTTTTGCATGCTTTTCTAGTGGGTCAGCCAATGTGGTAGGAAAGGCAGAGAAATGCTCCCACGGTTCTTTGTATTTTTCTGTGTGTTTCCCAATAAACACACATTTATCATTTACCTTGGGTCTAATGAAGTCATTACATCCTCTCCTTCAGTAATCTCTAACAGTTATTTGATTTTTGTTTCTTTCCCCATAATTCATTGCTTGATTTTATCTGTTCTTTTTGAAATTGACAAATTAGAATTATGTATATTTATGGATTACAATGTATTTCTAGTTTTTAATTGACAGGTTATAATTGTGCCTATTGATAGAGGATAATGTGATATGTTAACATCTGTATACTATACACAATCATTAAATGATTGTGCTAATATGCAGATATTAGTCACTAAGTAATTGATAACCAACATATAATCCATGGATCCAGAGAGATTAGGTATAGAGGAAGGGGTTGGGGGACACATGAATTTCCCTGAGAGGGGTAAATAGAATGGATTTCACAGGTGAAGTGGGTGTAGGTTGAGTCACTACTGAAATAATTAGGCGGGGATTAGGAGGGGAGATAGGGTTCAGGGAGGGAAGGTGAGGAGAGAAAGCTAGAACTGATGGACATGTAAGGGATGGTATGGAAACCTAGTGCAGTAGAAACACTCTAACATAAGTGAAGGCACTCCTAATGAGGTCTCCTAATAATGGAAGTAATGGATTCCCAACTGGCCAGCTCTTGTCATCAAATGAGGCTTCCAGTACCAGGAAGGAGTTT